CAACAGACATGATTTTTTGCTGTTTTTATAGATGGTACGGAACCCTTCGTGCGCGAGTCCGACTCGCACTTGGCCGGTTTTTATACTTTGATGCATCCCAATGAGCTATTGAGGAAAAAGAGAATTTTAATTGAACATTTATTCGTGATTTAATAAAAATATTGTTGTTTTTTAGTAATTGTTTTTATCTTGGTTGAATTCGGTGTTGTAGTGTCTTTAGCCTTCTTAATGCGAACCGAGAGTCTATTGACCTATTTTAAAACAATGTCAACATACACGTCGTTAAGAAGCGGTCTTAAAGTAGTGTCAGATTTTCTTATCTCCGTTAGGTTTACCGTTCGTGTATAGACATAGAGAAACGATCTTATTAAAGAGAAAAAAATCTTTCAAGTTTAAAGTTGTAGTAGGAAACTTTCGCCCTAAAATTACCCTTTCATATTTTGCATAGATTTTTTTTGTGTAAAAAGGTGGCAAGACAGCTGGCGGTTCACCTGATATACCGCCGCCCACGGACATTTGCACACGCGACGGCTTGGATGTTTTGCCACCTTTTAATAGTGGGCATTGGCTACGTCACTCACCAGACGAAACGCAGAAGTGCAACACTTCCACTTCACGCCGGTCTTCTGTGAGGTTGTGGTACTCCATTGTGCAACATTGTGTTGCGTGGCCCTACCACAGTTGGAGATTTGTATGCAAGACCGTTATTTAAGTAGGGTCTGCAAAGTTATCGTTAAAGGCAACGCTGTCAACAATTTAACAAATACGCGGATCTGATAAATGAAAAAATTATGCGTATACTTATTTACGCAGAAGTAATAGTTCTTTAGAGTAACAAAAGAGAAATAATTAAAAAAATCAGTCCCATTGCCGTGTACTCTTTGTTAATGAAAAAGAAATTAAATGATAACAGTAAAAAATTTTACTTATAATTTTTTCCAAATGCGTCAAGAGAAGTATAGCTTCAAAAATGCAAGAATAAAAACACTAAAAACTCTTTTTTTATTTTTGATTTGTAAATTAAAACAAAGTACCATACAACGAAATGATTCATTACTAACGGTTTGCACAATTCATGATGTGGTTAACCTGTGAATGTTTTAGATCATTTTTAATGCAGTGATTAAGTGATTTTAATAGTGGATTGGAGACACAAAAGAGAGAGAGAAAGGTCCGAGTGGTACTGTAAATGGTAGCACAGACCGTCCCTCCCTTGTATACAAAAAATATTTTATGTTCTCTTGAAATATACAGTATTATACTTAACATCGAACTGTGTACAAGGTCCAGCCCGCAACACGTATTGCGAAAAATTTGATACATTTGATTCAATTCGGAAATTAATTCAGTGAGCCATGCGACCGCCTTACTGAATTAAGTAGTCTAGCTGGGTCTTTATTGTAATACAATATTTAGAATTATTGTCGTTTTGTTCAATATAATATATAAAATTCTCGTGTCACGGTGTTTGTAATTGAACTCCGCCGAAACAGCTCGACCGATTTTCGTGAAATTTTGTGTGCATATCGGCCAAGGTGAAGAATCGGACATCTATTTTTCATCCCCCTAAATGTTAAGGGTGGTCCACCACTAAACTTTTTTTTATTTTTTATATAAATTATTTTGTTTTTATTTTTTTATGATACAGCATACAAAAATACATACAACTCTAAATTTTCACACCTCTACGCAGACGCAGTCGCGGGCAGCAGCTAGTTTTTCTATAAAAACCTTTAAATTTGATTTTAAGTTTAGTCAACCAACCGTTTCATGATGTTTTTAATTTTCTATACACTTTCTTGTTGATATGTTTTATGTTCAATAATTTATCCGTGAAAATCTGTTATTGACCTTTGGATTTTTTTTGGAGAATGAAATGATATTAAGGCTTAGTGCACACAAATAACAGTACAGATTAATTATAATGATATTTGCCATTAGTCTGATTTATTTCTAAAAGAATAACTCTGATTATCATTATCGTATTATAAGCCATATGTCTTGTTAAATCATAGCCAATATGTACTGAAAATATGGCTGTGCCAATAAAACACTTTTCATTAAGAATGACAATGCACAATAAAGTTCACTATGACAGCGATGGGATCGTATATTATACTAAATGATGCAATATATATTTAGAGGATTTTATAATGGTACACAGGCATAGCGAATGTTGCGCGTTTACCTAACAACGGTGAACGGTAATGAAATGGTAATTTAATGGACATGTGTTCATAATGGATTATGTTATTGTTTATCCGGACTAAGAAATATTGTATACGTTTATCGCAATGCACGAGCGCGGTTTTTTTTATGTGAAAAAGTTAAGAAAAAAAACAAACGTGCTGGCGGTTCACCTGATGTTAAGTGATAACCGCCGCCCACGGACATTTGCAACACCGGTTGCAGATATTTTGCCGCCTTTTAATAAGGTGGGCCCCGGCTACCTCACTCACCAGACGGAACGCAGAAGTGTAAAACTTCTACTTTGCGCCGGTCTTCTGTGAGCTCGTGGTACTAACCCGGAAGGACCTGCCGATTACGGCACGTGGTCCTACCACAGTTAAAATGTACGCACATACGTAGAAGAAGCCTTTGATGGAAAGACTGACTTTTCATAATAGGGAATTGCAACAATAGGGTTCTTTTATGAAAAAAGTTGGCAAGCAAGAAACACATTCCACATTCACCCGATGTTTAGTGATTACCATCGCCCATAGACGGCTTCAATACCTGACGGGTTGCAGATACATTGCCAAACATTGAAAAAAGTGACCACTTGCCTCACTCCATTTCTCGCCGGTGTGAGTCTGTCACTTAACCCTGCCCTTGTGCGCCAAGTGCACCAAAAGAAGTTAGTGCGAGGTATAATAATATATAGTACCCGGAGGACCGAGCTTTGCTCGGTTTGTTTTTTTTTTTTTGGTAAATCGTGTATTTTGGAAATTACATTTAGATACAAATTACTGAGTAATGAAACATGCATAATATTTTTCGATCTTACTGACGTAATGATAAGAAAATATGAACTGATGTTTTTCACAAAAGAAAGAACTTTAAAAAAAAGGGAAAAAAATAACAAAAGAACAAATCGACAAAAAATTAAAAATAAAGAAAGCAATGATCTGGAATCGAAAAAAAAGTAAAAAAATAAATGTGAAATGATCGTGACGCGAACCACGGCCGTCTGTTTTGGGGCCGCCCGATTACCGACCGAGCTATTATGACATTTTCTCTTGCGGCGAAATTTACCGTCATATTCGAATGATATTTTTCATTCCCTGAAAACAGGGATAAAAGGACATTTTCTAAAAATGAAACCTAGCTAGATCGATTTTTCGCCCCCGAATCTATGCACATACTAAATTTCATGAAAATCGCTGGAGCCGTTTCCGAGATTCCGATTATATATATACAAGAATTGCTTGTTTAAAGGATAAGATTAACATATACATATTATATGTTATTATACTACGCAGCTGTATAATAACAATACTACACATATATAATAACAAGAGCCGTTATTATACGTATCTGCTGAATATCGCGTGCTCTTCGGTAAAGGAAAACATCGTGCAGAAATCTGCATCATCATCATTTCAGCCTGTTTGAGTCCACTGTTGAACATAGGCCTCCTCCGCAGACTGTCACGAAGCGCTGCATATTTTCGAAATATCAGTAATAAAAAAAAAATAAAATGACAAGTCTGCAAATCCACGGTGGGGTAGCGTGGTGGACTCTACTACTTTCTGTACAGAAGACATAATTATATACGCTTCTTCTACACGCCTCACTTTACTTTTAAAAACAAATTGCCTTGTACTCAGGAGGGAAATAAACTTGAAATTTATTTTCAGCAGCTACACACTTACTATATGATAAAATTATGTTGCTATTTCTCTATTATATATATACAGTTTATTTAAAGCAAAAGTGTTTGAAGCAAAAGTACCGTAAATCCACTGTAATTGCAGCCTATTTTACGTTTCGTTGGCAAGAGTGCAAGAAGGACATTGTAGTTCCTGTTTTGTTATGATATTTAATGACTGTCTTTGCTGGGAATGTTGTCAGTTACGGTTTGCGTGTTCTAGAATATTGCGGTGTACTAAATTCGAAGTTGTTTCCACCGTGTATTTTTGGTGTTCGTGATGCGCTAACGGAAAAAATAACGGACCATATAGCACGTGCTTATCGTGATATGAGTAAACTATAGGACCTTGTAAGATTGAGGGACTTACGCCCGGTTTCTGATCATCGTAGAAATTAACTAATCAGCTGGCTTGTCAAATGTCAATTGAGTTGCCAAAAGGATGGGTCAACTCTTTGAATTGATCAGAATGATCTTCTTAGTGATCAAAATGATACATTTGACAGCTGCTCAGTTAATTTCTACGATGATCAGTGTTTAAACAGGACGTTAATGTTTATATTAAGACAATTTTTACTAGTCCATGTCACTTTTACACATAACGAAAGCATTAGAATATTTTCTATTTTTTATTCTATTTCTATTTTAATGACCACTGCACAGAGGTCGGTTCTTAACCTTCTGTTCTAATTGGAAAAACATAAAATATTCTTGAAATTTCAAGTATCTTTTAATCATGGTTTTATCTTATATTTATTCGTTCGATTTCGTTATGCGAACTAAAGCTTGTTTATATTTTCTTTTCAATAATACAATGTCACGGCCGCCACATTTCATACTTTTACAATTTGCTACGTATTCGATTGGCTACTTCAATTTAGTTTTGTTGCTATAAATACTGCATTCGTTATTACTATCGGAGTTTGCGTTCCATCGTAAAAAGCATGAGACTTACATGTGTATAGATTTTATCGTTCTGTCGGCGGGAAAGTTTGCGTGCGCCGTCGCGAGACGCGTCACGAGATTATTTATTTCAATATCGAAGTGCGAAAGAAAGAGTTGATAGTGAATGACTGGCCATTAAATATTTTTTTTTTCTTTTTGTCCACAGATTAGCGGAATAAAAAAAATGGCGCACATTCGACCAGCCATGTTTCCTGGCGGATACGCGGCGGCATCTAGTCATAGTTTAAGAGATTGTTTGTCACGATTTATATTGGGCATGCTTCTATTAGGTAAGAAGTGACCATAACTTATGTACTAGTATATTTTTTTAGGTGAACTCGAGCAAAAACAACAATTTTTACAAAATATAAATATATGTATATTTTATAAAATTGTTGCTTTGTTTCCTATTTCGCAATTGAACATTCAAACTAAAACTTAAATAAAGTTTCTGTTCGACTCGAAGTTAATTCAAGAGAGTTTTTTCTTTAACTTGGAAAAAACTAAAAAAAAATAATTTTGTTATTCGTCAAAGAAGAAAACAATGGTTTTCTTTTTTACTTTTAATTGTTTCTGGATTCTGTGATAAAAATATTCTTAATAACCGTAAAGGAATTGCCCTTTACGGTTATTAAGATGGCAAGCCTTGTTATTGGGATGGCAAGTTGCTTCTTTATGCTGTTGCTCTATCCCCTGGGAATGAGTTGATTGCTCCCAAGCTATTTCTGAAAGGAAAAAAATCAGTTGTATAATATTTTAATTTTTTTTAAGAAAAAAATGAATTAAAAAAAAGAGGATACCTACGGAGTTTCTTTCGCCTGTTTTTTCTCAGTTACAGGAACCTCATTAAGAAACGGTGGTAGATTTAAAAAAAATATGACTCGATAGATGTAATGTAAGTTCCTTATGTCGATGAATAAATGATTTTGATCTTTTTTATACAATATGAAATTAAACAATGTTATCAGTTTTACTTGCAGTAGATGTCGTAGTGCTGAAATCGCCTAATTAATTTTCCCAACAATAGCAGGACATAATATAGTATAAACTCGCGCATACCATACAATCTAACAAAATCTCAAATTAAAATTGTGATTTATTGATTTTTCATGCATTTCGTTCCCATCATTATTTTGCGGTTATGACCTAGCTTTTAATTAAGGCGCGTAAAACATTAAAAATGCTAGTCAATGTGGTCATGGCAATTATAGCAAAGTCATTTATCATCATAAATTGATTTACTGGCATTTTTAAATGAATTAAGTTTTACGAATTTCATTAAGGTTAATTTTAAATTTAAATTCGTTAAACTAGTTTATAAGAATGTGCAGTATTCGCGCAAAAAAAGTAAATCATAACGATTGGCAAGCGTTCGAATGTTTGTTTTGCATAAATTTACATTACAACTAGCTGCTGCCCGCGACTACGTCTGCGTAGAGGGATAAAAATTTAGGGGTTGCATGTATTTTTGTATGCTGTATCATAAAAAAATAAAAATAAAAATTTTGTCCAAAAATTAAAAAAAAATATTAAGGGTGAACAACTCTTATCACTTTGGGGTATGAAAAATAGATATCAGCCGATTCTCAGACCTACTGAATCTGCATATAAATTTGGTAAAAATCGGTAAAGCCGTTTCGGAGGAGTAAGGTAACTAACATTGTGACACGAGAATTTTATATATAACATTTCAACCATACAGCAGGGGTACCGAGTGCTTACGGCGAAATAGAGAGGATATACTTGGATTCCACGGATCTGAACATACTCGTCGATGATAACCACCTCTTTCACTTGGTGCAAATGTAAGTTAAGTTTATAATTATTTATGAGTTTATAAAGCAAACTAACCACTGAAAAGCCACCACGGTTCTTAAACATATCGGTAAAACGTAACTGTAAAGTTTGTTATCGGTGGAGAGTAAGCGATTGATTCTATCCATGTATTATTAGACTTCTTCTTGTTTGTGTTCGCCCACCATTGGGCATATGTCTCTACAATTTTCTTCCATTTAGTACGGTTATTCGTTTCCCTTGTCCAGACTGGGTCTGCTGTCACCTTAATGTATTATATATTATACGTTCGCTATTTTGGTTCAAAGGACAACAATAATTTCGTCACAAATTGGTCATCAATTCGGTAAATGAGTGATTTTTTCACATAAAAAAATCTTCACCTCAACCCTTTCTCACTGGTCATTGTATCCTCTGTAACGTGGTTGCCTTGAAGAAATCGCTTCTAAGCAATAAGGCTGCCAACTGTACCTTTATGAATTTCTTGTTACTTCCTTGTAATTCTTTGTCTGGTATACAATCAAGTATGTTTCATTCATTTATTTCATTCATAGCAGGAAACTCATTGGTCTTTCCGTCCACAAAGCAATTGACAAAAGTTTTATAGCCCCATAGAATATCATCATCATTTAACCTCTAGACATGCAGTGGCAATTATTTTTCAAAGAATATTTATATGAAATAGTAATAGGTTTAAAGAATTTATTCTCATAAAAACACAGTTTTACATAAAAAAAAAATGATTTTTTGAACATGATTGTAAATGTTATTTTAGAAAATCTTAATCTTCTTTCTGCCCTTATCCCATGTTGTTAACGGTATTGGGTAAGTTTTTTACGACCGGTCGCCTGCCTGACGTCAATCCTCCTTGGGAAAAAATCCGTAACTATACCTGTGGGTCACACAGATATCTGTCCCGTGAGATAATCGAACCCACGGTCTCCGGCGCGGAAGCCGCCAGCTCACAACTGCGCCACAGTGTCGATAAAGATGCGCGATTTTCCAGCGGCGAATCGAACGTGACCCTACAAATCCACACCCAAGTGCAGCATCCGGACATCGTGCAGTTCGTGCCGTCACCGTTGGACATTCCGGGCTCTGCGGATCCCAATGACACGGCCGAGATCACGCACGACATCTGGGCGTACGGGAAGAGCCCCGGGCACTCGGAGGTCACATTCAATGCCACGCCTGTTGGGTCTGTCAAGTGAGTCTAATGAGATTGCGTTGGAATTCACCACGTAGCTGCATGTGAACGCATGTCCACATGTGATATGCATGTGGACATGCGTCCGTTTAGGTCGGATCTATCAAGCTCGTGTAAACCTTTCCAATAGCTTCTATTCCATATGAACTCATACAGTCCACGAGCGGGATGCGTCGTCATCAATTCCACTCATATAATTAAGTATTTCATTTAAGACAATATTTTTTCTGAACTTAAACCAACTATTAAGTGTAATCTCATCGCGAATTTGTGTTTTGACTTTGTTTTATACTATGTAGTGTTGAAAGTTACAAGCGATATCCTTGCTTAGGGGAAATTGTGTGTAAGACATTTGTATATATTTTAACAATTACGTGATTAATTACGATAAAATTGTAGTAACTGATTTCGGACTTTTTTATCGTGTTACGAATTTATGAATCTGCGATAGCGCTTTTAAATTGCACCGACGTGATTTTCAAGTACAGATTAAAAGAAGTTTCCAGTGCGGTCGATCGCATCGACACTTATTCGGATTTTATTTTTCAAAATATTCCCATTCGTTTGTTCAACAACAGGCAACACTATTTGTATAACGGGAATAACAATAAAATCGTACTGTCCGAGTGGTCTGTGAATTTTCAGTAAGTTGATGTGTGAATGTCGATGCGATATCGAGTCGACAGATGATGTGATTCAGAACTTCGCGCCAATCCACAGCCTCAGCTCGGTGTTCCTGCGTGTGACCGTCATGCATTCGAATACGATAAGCATCATCTCGTACATCATGGGGTGGATCTACTTCGCCGCTTGGTCGGTGTCGTTCTACCCCCAGATCTACATCAACTTCAAGCGCAAGAGCGTAGTCGGGCTCAACTTCGACTTCCTGGCCCTGAACATCATGGGCTTCACCATGTACTCACTTTTCAACTGCGGCCTCTACTTCTCCAAGGCGATTCAGGTTTGTCGTGTCTCTTGCTCTCTTCGGTTTTTTAACTTCGGCTAACAATACAATTACGTTGTCAACATATGTGGGCTTGCAAATGTTGCCAACCTTGATGGGTTCGGTCACCTCATTCACTAGACGAAATGCAGAAGTATAATAAATACTTCTTGAATCGTGATTTCCCTGATGAGCCTGTCGATTTGTGCAAACACAGTAACGGCATCGTGGCCCCTCCGCAGTAGAACAACTGAATCAAATCTAAGTTATTGTTCGCTTATTCAAAGCTACACTATCTCCGAGTTGGTATATTTAAATAAATGTTAATTTTTGTTGAGAGATCTCAACATTTTGTGGGTTTGACATTATTGTTTGCGATTTTGTTAATAAAACACGCCCGGAAACGAACAGATAGTTAGGGCTATTTGTAGTTATTGTGTGATTTATAATGCACCCTTATCGAAGATTATTTTATCTGTATACGATCATCTAAATTAGCGATAAGTCTTTTTTACATGAACCAGTTTGTATTGGTTCTTATTTTCACAATTATCAATATTTACAATAGCATTTCTTTCAATTTTAATTAACATGGAAGTTATGTTCTCGAGTTATTGAAGGCTATCATTTATTTGTGAGAGTACCAAAATAACTTATTTTTTTTTAATCTTAATATATGATATGTGTAATTATAGTCACATACAGATGTATAAAATTCTGTATTAAAGTAATGTAAAGTAGCTTATAAATGTAACTAGTATTTGTAATGTAAATGAGTTTGTTCTATACAAAAATGATTACGCAATTGAATATCGAACGAGTTTTACTATTTAGTAAGGTATTCCGGATTAGTACATATTTTATTCTACCTAGTTCTATCTGGTCTTATTCTAGGCTGTAACTTGTTATTGAAACATATTTACCATATGTTGTTTTTGTTATAATGGGCTCGCTAGTCAATTGGCAGTAATCCCTCTTGATAACTAGCAATACAAAAATAGATGATAAACGCACTATATCAGTGATAGCTATTCTTACTACTACTCTACCCTTAAACACGCCTATGATATATTCGGACTGCAATAAAAACCCAACCGGTTTCGTCCTTAATACTTCGACATACATCAGAATCTCAAGTTTGTTTCTGATGATTTCCAGGACGAATACCTAAGCCGCCATCCGCGCAGCGTCAATCCAGTTCAGCTTAATGACGTGTTCTTCTCTCTTCATGCAGCCTTCGCTACGTTGGTCACCATCACGCAGTGCTATTTGTACGAGGTAGGTCCAAATATTTGACTGGACTGTGTGAAGAACGATATTTCTGTGAAACTTGTAAGTGTTGAGATGACGGCTGGTAGAGGAAAGTGAAAGGAAAGAACGTGTTGTGCCTACCCCATCAAAGAAAAAACGCTCAAAGATATACCCCTTGGATGACTGCATAGGATTCTGAAGATTGGTGGTGATGACTTTGATAATAATGATGGTGATAATGTTGAATGCATGTTGGTGAAATTGAATCACGCGACGCTTGAAGGGAACATATTTTAATTTCATTGAATTTGAGACGTACAATACAATGCAATGGTCGTCGTGAAAGCAATATAGGTATAAATTACTTGAATGATAGTGATTTCTTTATCTGTGACGACAATTCAATATTATATCTTACACTCGGACGTATCTGTTTTATCTTACAATCTTTACGATTTGCTCATTTTTATGTATGTTTAGATGTTATATTTTTTATTTTATTCGAATACCGATGCGCCATGTAGTCGGAATATGGTAACACCAAATCAATTTTTATACAATATCGTTTTCGAAATTAATTAAACTTTTGAAATATTTTTTACAAAAGAAGCCCAAGTATTATAGACCACTTTTGTTTTGAAACCGGCTGAATTTTAAAGAAGCAGATTAATGTTTGAAATATTATAGAACTTTTCAAGTATATTCTATTCCCTAGTTTACGCTGTATTTACAAATCACTCTATGTTAGATCTTACAGGTTATTTTGCAGTATGAATTAATTATCTAATCAAGTTTGTAATCGCCTTGTTCGTGACGCCAAATCATGCTGTCATACAAGGTCGCCTAGTATCAAGTCACAATCAAAACGTCCCTCAATTACGTACTAAGGTTATTAAAGCGCTTACCTCGTCGTCGGTTACAGATAAAAAAATCAAAGACTCTTCGCTCGTAATAAAAACATGTTTTTGTCGTTGCCTAAATGTATAAGTCGGTGGCAGTTTTTTTGTAGTCTACCAACGTAAAAAACCATACGGTTTTTACTTCCAATCCAGTTACGTTTAAGTTAATAGAATTCTCGACTTAGCATATTCGATACATAAATTTATCTGCTTTGTGATTATTTTTTTTAAAAACTAGTCACTGCACTCAACTTTAAGGGACGGTGTGCGCGCGCATTAGAAAAAATTACTCTAATATTTTTCCCAAACGCACCAAAAGAAGTATTACTTCATATGATAATCATATGTTGATGCGAGGCTATCATTACTTATTAGAATAAACTGTGCTATATGAGTGACGGGCTTCAGGGCTCAAATACTTTTACGTATTTATAAGCACTTTCACATTGACGAACCGATTGGCGTAGTGAATAGTTAACCTTCCTCTTGCGCCAGAGGGTGTGGGTTCGATCCCCACTACTGGAAAAATATTGTGTGATGAACAAATTGTTGTTCCAGTGTCTGAGCGTTTATATATCCATAATATGTATTTATTTACAAAAGAAAACTTTGCTTAAGTATGTTTATCAGTTACTTAGTATCCATAGTACAAGCTTTGCTTAGTTTGGGACTAGATAACACTGTGTTAATACATCATGAAATATTGTTCTGAAAAACATGTGGATAAACCAAATTCTCGTGTAGCTAAACAGCAGTGTGTTAGAACGCACCTCTTCTTACTCCCTCTAGTGGGGCGAAGAAATTACCTCTTCTGACAATCTTACTCCATCTAGCGGGACTAAGAACATACCTCTTCTGACACTCTTACTCCATCTAGCGGGGCTAAGAACGTACCTCTTCTGACACTCTTACTCCCTCTAGCGGGACTAAGAACTTACCTCTTCTGACACTTACTCCATCTAGCGGGACGACCAGCGCGTGTCGATGACGGGTCGTGGCATACTCAGCGGTTTCGTGGTCGTCGTCATTGTGACCGCCGGCCTGGGCGCTGGTGGTCAGATAGAGTGGCTCGACTTCCTCTACGGCTGCAGCTACATAAAGCTCTGCATCACGCTCATCAAATACGTGCCGCAGGTGAGTCGAGAGAGCTAGTCTCTGGTTATCTCCTTTTCTCCTTCTCTTGCTTTCAGCGCGCGCTTTTAGTAAGCTTTATACTGCCTTAAAGCTGGAGGGACTTTTTTGTTTTTTATGTGAGAAGATGGCATGCGTGCTGATGGTTCACCTGATGTTAATTGATAACCACCGCCCATGGAAATTTGCAACACCCATAGTGTTGCAGATGAGTTGCCAACTATTAATATAGCGGGCCCCGGCTACCTCACTCACCGGATGCAACGCAAAGTATAATATGGTTTAATAAGATTGTTTTTTATTTTTGATGACTCCGTGTCGGAGTCGCCAAGGTATTGGCTTCGGCGTTGACGGTCGTGGGTTCGATTCCCACACGGGACAGCTATTTGTGTGACCCACAGATAGTTGTTTCGCGTTAGGATCTTCGACCATGTGAATATATCAGTGTTGTAAGATTCAAATAACCGCTTTTACTAAATGGATATGGACGTTTACACGGTACATGTACCAAAATAAAATTTTTTACAATTTTTGCCTGTCTGTTTAGAAATTTTATTTATTGTCATTAATATATATAATATAATTCCACGCGGACGAAGTCGCGGGCTCAGCTAGTATTGAATAAAGACATTTCGCCTTCGACCCGAACCACCAGGCGTACATGAACTACAAGAGGAAGTCGACCGTCGGCTGGAGCATCGGCAACATCTTCCTCGACTTCGTCGGCGGCTTCCTGTCAATACTGCAGATGGCGCTCAACGCGTACAATTACAACGACTGGATCTCCTTCTTCGGAGATGCGACCAAGTTCGGCCTGGGGCTGTTCAGTCTGGTCTTCGACGTGTTCTTCATCTTGCAGCACTACGTTTTCTACAGGTGCGATATTCTCAAATACTGCTTTTGGTTAATGCGAGTTATTTTTTTATAAAGGCATTTCTCTCGTTGAATTTGATTTGTTGAGTTGTATTTGAAGACTGGTCACATGATTGTCATAAGTTTTCTCCTGCGCCAGAGGCTGTGGGTTCGATACCCGCTGCTGGAAAAATATTGTGTGATGAACATAGTGTTTTTCTGGTGTCTTTGTGTTTATATATCTATGACATGTATTTGTTTATAAAGAAAAGTACTTTTAAATATGTTTATCAGTTATCAAGTGTCCATATTTCAAGCTTTGCTTAGTTTGAGACTAGATAACGTTGTGTAAAAATGGGTCAAGAAATATTTATCTATTTATTTCCTTCGTATGAATGGAAGTTTAAGTTTGTAGACATTTGGACGAACCTCAAGGAAGTATTTTGATCTACATATGAACTGTTCTGTTATTTCTGACATTGAATTGAATTGATAATCAGTCCATTTGAATTTGTGTTTTGCAGTCTATAAGCATATAGCTAATTTGTTTTCAAACAGAATCATCAAATGTAAAAAAAATTATCATTTTCATGACATTGTCATTGATGGAAATATATATTGATGAATCCTATACATTGTTGGAGAATGTTAAGAATGCCAATTTTGATATTGACACGATAGCTTGCATTTATGATTTGTGGGACGGCTTTCCGTTTCGGTTTTGCTATTTCTGAACTAACATCTTTCGCCTAAACACTTTTCTCACAATTTCGAATTCGTTGGTTACTAACTCATCTTCACGGTGGCGGCTTATTAACTGCGTTTTACTTATATATTCTATCTTTCGTGTCGAATCGATTATCCTTCTCTATTTTAATAACAACATATAACGGTATAAATTTCGACTTGTGCACTCAAGAAAATAAGAAAACAAATTCGAAGGAAACCAAAGTTCAGATTTAGTTGTGAACAATTCCAAATCTTTGATATATGGCAATATCCTACTACCGATAACAAGATTCCTTTCAAAAATTTTATACAACATAGAATAAGACAAACATAAGGAGCTTACCACTGAATATCCGAGAAATTGGGAGAATTGCACAATTTGCTCATTCGAAGAATCGTTTTTCATTTTCGTTTTCGTTTCACATATGTGAAACTCTTTCAGAAAAGCGAATACCAATAAAAATTACGCTGTGAATACATTATATACAAAAGGATTCATAGAGAAACTGAAAAATTATTTAAATTGGAAAAAGTCTGTGTAACAATTATTAGGCAAAGAGGAGTAGTAATTAAATGTAAACCGAATAAAAAATGACCAAATCGTATTGTGTTATGGACAGAAAAATCAAAAAAGGAAATAATGTGGCAACAAAATTAACTTGACATATCGTATGCCGGATTTCGAGCGAGTAAGACGGAGTGGGAAGAGGAAAATATTCTGTGTACCATCGAAACAGTGCACACTACGTGAATTCGTATGGCTCGATCGATAACGAACAGAAACATCGAAAAAGGAAATAATTAACGTACCAACAAAACTGTCTTGACACATCCTATGACACATCCTTGACTTCGCGCGAGTAAGACACAGAATGAGAAGAGGAAAATATTCGGTTAACCCTCGTAACAGTGCACGCAACGTTACAAATTACAACGTTACGAAATTACCACGAAAACGATATCGGGGTGAATTTTTAAAAACGCGAGATTTGACAAAAAAAATACGTTCTTACACGAGATCCATCGATGGAACGTTCGCGAAGTTTGCATTCAATCATCAATGGGGGCGCTTTCATCGCTTGCATCGTTTCTAAGAAATGGCAACGCTTTATCTAACTCTTTAACAAAAACGGTTAAGGAAACATGTCTATGGTTGATGTTTTCAGAGAGGGCCGGGAATTTATGATTGTTGACAGTAGTGACGATGCCTCTAATATGACGTCGAGCGGTGAAGGAAGGGAATACTTTATGGTCAACTACTGGTATGTATGCGGCGCGGTGGCGAACAAACTAATCGCTATAGTCCTACCATAGACAATCTAAACTTTTTAACTTAACGATATCTATGACGTGTCTGTCCACGTTCTCTTCACTAACTCTTTTTATTTATAGTCTGTACAGTGCTTGTCTATTGCCAGTTGCGGATAGCAGTTATCCGGTTATTTTTCTTGTAGTATTCGCGTGTATATACGTTCCTAACATGTTCTAAGTGTTCCTTAAATTCTGTAACCTTGAGAGATATTTTAAAAGATTTGTAAATAGTAAACTCAGCTGATTGCATCGCGTTCGAACTTGTTGCGGTATCATTACTATTTTTTTACTTGGCAATTTTTAGGCATGCCGATGAAAAGAAATACGACCTGGACGTTAAAGCGTGATGAAGACTGAAGCCCTTACTTGACGCTGGCAGTGACCTCATTCCAGGGTTCAAGGAGAACGGCACTTCTTTTGGTTTTTATGGCATAATGTCACCGGAATCTATAACTTCAGTATGAGGCAGTATCTCATTAGGATGGTTGTGTTCTATAAAACAGCATTTAATTGGTTTATAGGTATTTGAGCGTAAAATTATTTTTAGCGTGTTTATGCATTTGTTCAGAAGCATTCCAAATTTAAATATTGGGTTATACCTTAGTAGTAATACCATCTCTCAAAGAAACTTGTCACTCGACATATTAAAGGTAAAGTAAACATCAACACTTGTCACAACAGCTAATGATACTAAAGTTAATTGATTACAAAAATTCGGTCGTAAATGTACAGTGCTCTCACATGATTTAAATATTAATATATGATACATTTAATAATCTGTAGTCATTTTACTCTTCCATAAAACCTAAGGGATTTCTCGACGGCCAGCAATAACGTAGGTTTTAATTTAACTAGATAATATTTAGTAATATAAGTCGCCATTTATTTATTTTCTTGCTGTGACGACCCCACCCGATGTTTTGTACGCTTTCTTTAAAAAAAACTGTCGAATAAACGGCTATTCGCAATAATTTTATTCGTGATATCGTATGTTCTGGAGTGTATTTAACAAATTGTTAATTGTTTTTGTTGTTGTTACAAAATGACAATTGTCAATAAAATCGATCTGTGATCAAGTGACACATTTTACATTAAAATGTGTCTGAAGTTACACGTTTTTTTGATTTTCATCCTCAACACTCGACATGCACATTAAACATCTAATATACCTCAATGTTAGAGGAACTCAACAAGTTCCATGAATTAAAACTAAGAATAACACGTAAAAAGTATTGCTTATAAATCACATGTTTTAATTTTTTTTTTAAACTGCCAAAGTACACAAAGTATTTTTATACACAGCTTTAATATAAACCAACATTAAAAATACCACATCGGAACTCAACATTTCAAAATTCTATCAACTGTTCGGTAGGCGAATAATTTTCTTTTCTTTTATGTGTTATAAGCTCGATCTGTTTTAATCTATGATCATGTATTTTTTTTAGAACCAATAAATTTATTTTGATTTTGCTGTGTTTGCATTCAATACCTCACCTACCACCTTTCTTATTACCGTATTATTGTAAAATAAACATTATTGTAAAATAAAAAAAAGTTGTGTTTTAAACTTACAAAGAGAGCAAAATCATAATTTTTAAATCTCTTAGATTTATAATATTTCTAATAATTAAAAATAAAACCGACTTCGAATATCTCGCTTGCTATACATTTTCTATTTGATTTTGAGGAGTTCTCTCATCTATATCCTAAGTTCAGGGTCCAATGAAATCAATATGGGACCACACGAGAGCTGACCTGAACAAAAATAATTTTAAAAAGCGGTTCATAAATTATGGATTTCTGAAAAATAAAAAATAAAACCGAATTGAGAATTTTTCGAAGTCGGTTGGACAAAACATTTCATACATAGTAGTTTAGAAAAAGTGTAACAATTTTTTAAATGTGATACTGTTATTGTAATTAAAAGTGTGTTATAATAATTACTTGTACACTCTCTGATATCAAGGTAACCATCAATTTAAGATAGAGAATGGAATCTCCTGTGAAGAGGACATTCCCCTATGCGTACATATAATATTTAGTAACGGCTTCTCTTCAATCCTTAAACCTGTTACCTAATTTCACATTTAATTAAACTGAAGGATAGATACTGCCTTTGCAAGAAAAATTCGGTTTGAAATGTTCGAAACTCACAAATCTAAGAACAAGAAGTTCATTGATCCTGACATCCCCATGGTATTTGAATATTGGTCACCATGACGTCCTTAAGTATTTGATCAAAACATTCTGATACTTAAAACCAAAAAGTTTTGCACCATCCAAAAGTCGAATTTATACACTGCAAAAATAGCTCTAGTTTCTATCGCCATGTGCATTAAATTTTTTAATAATTGCAATGACTTTTTTAATACGAAAAATTACGACCGGGGAGAAATCATTCCCAAATACAATGAATGATTTAAAGGCGCTTATTACTGCACCAATATACGATCAGCAAGGGTCAGATGTTTCCAACATCTGACCCTTGCTGATCGGGTACCACTATCTACAATGCAACTGTGTAGGAAGGCTTCTGCGATTGGTGAGATATTTAACTTCACGATTTCGTACTTCTGTTGATGTTTAAAAAAATGAATTTAAAACAACACAATAAATCAATTACCTTGACTGCCTTATAAAATAAGAATATACATTCTACGGTGTACAGCTTGAATATAATAATAATAATCGACATGTTAAGAACAATAATAGGTAAGTCAGCAATCATGTACGAGAGTGGCAGATATAGGGTCTGCGTTCAATATGGAAGTTGTCAGGGTGCTTTACTAATTGCACCGGCACAGCACTGTGTGGCGGGAAAGCGTTCGAGTAGCTGAGGTCTATGGGCATAGTTGTGAAGAAAAAGGGAAACAATGAAGAAAAATCTTCCCTGGGCATTCCGCTAAGTGTCATATTTTTCTGATTTGTTATCTAATTTCTTGAACTCTGATTAGGAAAATTGTTTGGACTGACTGATTATGGCCTAGGTTCACTATCTGTAAATAACATTGTAAATTGTTAAACTACACCCTTCATATAGTAGTAAATCTTAATTTACATAAAAAAATTATTAGAAATCCAACAAGATATGATTGTTATGATACGAGTGAACATTACAATCATATAAAAAAAACGGAATAGAATATCATATTACCCAATGTAATTATAGAATAAATCTCCCAAAGATTAAACTGTTACACTTGTGCGAAAATAGCCCGAGTACTACCAGTACTGTCGAGTGTAAAAGTCGATATCGTTTAATAATACGTATCGTATCCACAAAACGGAATAACAACATTGTTCGCAATTGTACATCGACGCTTTGTGGGAGTGAAACAGTGGGCGAAAAACCAACTGCTACTCGTCCCATGTGGGCATCGTATAAACTGTGTAATGCGCAATGATTTGGGCTAACTTCATATCTTGTATTAAAGTATATTTTACGGATGTGTGGAAATCAATGAGTCTAAGGATGTGGAAATGACTCTTTCTCAGCACTTGCAAGTCCCCTGGCTGCTGCTGATTTTATACCATATAATTTTGTATACTTATCTCATTAAAAAAGAATAAAAAGCCGCAGAGTTTCTTGCCCGTTCTTCTCCGGATAGGTCTAGTTTACTAAACCGGTGTTTTGACATTCCATAAGAGCTTAAAACGAGCTTTAATAATAAAACTTTGACTTTGAATCTAGTACAGAACTTGTGGAAAAGTTAGTTGCCACGAGTTTGATGGACTGTGATCCAGAGCTAACAGTGATGCATGTGGATACGCTTGCGCTATTTATATGCTAGGGTTTTCTCACGCACACACACGTAGCGTTAATGTACAACATATTCTATTTCATCCTCGCATAAGAACACAGCGACTCCAATCGCGTACACAAGGTACACGCGCGTCCCTGGTGGGTCACACCGCCCGAACCTGTGACGGTACACATGCCCTCATTTTGATAATACACACATTTTTGCATTTTGTTAATGCACGCATGTCCACATGTGTGACTTATGATGCTTTAGATAGGGTCTATCAGGCTTTTTTGTGCCCCTGTGTCCCGATGAAGCTTTATATAGTCTACGGACTGGAAGCGCAAACATCTATCACGACAAACAGGGGTTGTCGGCTACGGTACTTGGTTGGATCTAGCGCACGTGGATCGGTTTTGCCGTGTTGTTCGAGACAGTATGTGTTGACCCACGGTTCGGTCCGTTGTACTGCTGTCTCCTTCTTTCTTTGATTGAGGAGGAGGACATAAGTATCTCGGGCGAACGAAGTTTAGAGCATCTGTTCGCGCCCCGTTAAGTGTCGTTTCTCGCTAATCCAAAAAAGTAATCAAAGTAATCAAAGTCAAAATTTCTTTATTCAATATAGGCTTATTTTAAGTTCTTATCGACCGTAGTACGTACGTACATATTGAATCTTTAATACCATGATATATTTTCGTTGCCTTACAGACATGCGCGATACATTCTGCTTCCCGGTGAGCAGGCTTCAAGAGATGAAGATCGACTAGAGCATGCTCCGCCGGATACGCCCTATCAGGGTTATCTCAACGAACATGACGCCGCCGGCGATGAACCCGCATAAATTATGTAGCCTGTGCCATTATTTACTGATGCATTCCAAAACGGAATGTGGAGTTCTCGAAGAGTTTCTTTTGGATAACTGGCATCGTCGCGCTATCGAAGATTAGAAAGAACGGATAAGATTTTTATTGTGGTATTGAATTTTTTTAAGGGCAATTCAGTGCTGTGGAATTCGGAATTCAGAATAGAGAACCACTCTGTGATGATGACTGCCGACCTTACAACAACACATCGTCAAGGGTCTTGTCCTGTGTTGAAAAGAAGAACTTACTACATAAGTTTGATACCTTCAGATTTTGAAGCTTTTGGCATTTATAAGAGGCATTGATATCACTTAACATCAGCGGACGGTTATCTCTTAGTGTTACCATTATAAGAAAAAGAGATCTTGAAGGATAATTGCATAAAGAACGAAAGTGTTAACTGGAGTGATTATAGACGAATGTTTATTGGTTTGAGTTACCCAAGAATAGTCCTTACAGCCTGATTTCAGTGATCAGTGACAATAAAATCTAGCTTTTTTTTAAATAAGTTATGTTGAGCGTTAATTAAACTATAATCAACATTAAAGCAATATTAATTATTATCTATCGATGTGTATAAACTATCGTATACTATTTAAGACGACCGTAGATCATATTTAGATTAAACTAGGTACTTATTCTATTGTATATTTAGGAAAAGTATTAGAAGTAATAAATAAGAATCTCATTTAATTTTGATTGTAGCGCATTGGTGTTAGCAAGAAGGCGTCGCTT